TAATGTTCTTTTTAGCAGCATCATATGACCCCTTTAACTCTTTCCCCGCTAAACACGGAATTTTCCGCGTTCTCGCTGTTATACGCTCGGGGCGCTATTACGCATCTCCTGAATGAGTCTAGAATGTGCCGCTCAAAAACACATGCGAGGAAGACGCAGAAAGGAGCGATCTCGTATGTATGCATATGAAAAACAATGTGATCATCAACAATAAACAGCATATAAATGAAATGTTTTGCCTAATGTTACAGAGTGAAATGTCGATCCAGGGTTCAGATATTCATAAAACAAAATATTCTGGGGGCCATGAAATTTGAGTGAAAATCATCAAAAATGTTGGTGGTGGCTGGCAACTTTTTCAAAAACACTGGCGGGGAAACAGAATGTGTCTGGATCAGAATTATGCTGAACGGTCCACAGAATAGTATGTATAGTAGGAAGGCCGGTACTGACATTTAACAGTGTAATTAAAATAGTGTTTTAAAAATCAACTTTAAAGCAACTGTATTAATTTCAAAATCATTCTGATGGTACATGGTCTCTTTCTCAAACATCTGTTCTGGGAGTTTGGAAGTTTGGTGAGCAGGTAGGAAACTCAGCAAAAAGGCAGGCTGCTTTACGATAGCAACAAATGCTCAGAAGTTGCAAAAATACACATACAGTTGCTTTAAAAGGGAGATGAATTCAGAAGAACAGTAAAGAAGTGTTTTAGCTGAAACTGTGGTCCTTGGTAATTCATAAAATGCAAGTCAGCAGCTACCGTCACTTTGATAGAGACAAAAAAGCATATACAGGCAAGACAAAAATAATACCCATTGCCCCTGATGATATATTGAGGTCTTACGAAGCGAAACAATCAGTCTGTGCAAGAAACATTATATACAACATTATTACATGTGTAATCCAGAGCCTCTTTAGACCTGTGCTGGCTTGAGCCACGAACTGTTTCAGATGGTTCAGTCCAATTTGTTGATAACTGATTTTATGCCCGATTGCAGAGGTCTGCTGCATCCTTCACAATCTAGCAGAACCGCCCTGCAATACTGTACTGTGCATCACAACGCTAATTTCAGGTGCATGTTTGCATCATTACTTGATGTGCATATTTCATTTAAGGTGCATAAAAATAAAAGACTTTTAGGGGTGCAGTTCATTTTCAGTGAATTCCCTCTTCCTTACCTCTTCTCCCCTATCAATCCTGCGGGCGGCACTGATGATGATCTTGTGGCCCCGCTCGAATGTCACAACCTCAGCCACACAGTTCGGCGAGCATGAATGATTGATGTACCTACGGGATAAATTGAACTCAAATTGAACTTAAGGGGTTTTGTCCAAATACACTACCATTCATACGTTTGGGGGCAGTATTTATTTTTTATTTGCTCCCATAAGTAATGTACACATTTGAAAGCTGATATGAGAAGCCAAGTTCATTTCTTACCTTGCAGGGCTTCCAGACCGGGTTGCATCGATAACTCGCTCGCTGTCGATGCGGAACATGTATGCTGGGCGGTTCTGTGGGAGAAATCCACACAGATTTATACAAATGCATTTCGAAGTCAAGGCAACATTATTCCCAGCGCTATTCCCTCAGTGGTTGAGCGAGCTTTACCTTAGCCTTGTACTGCAGCTCTTTCCCCATGGCCACCTCAGCGCGCAGAATATCCCCCATGTATTCAATCACCATGGTCTGCTTCTCAATGTCACGCGCTGCAAACAGCCCAAGACCCTGCAGACATGAGACACATTAGACATGCATCCACACCCAAGGCTAGAGCTCACACACGTTTAGTCACAATGGGCATATTCCATAGGCTTACGCTGTTTTATATACAGCTACATATAAATACTATAAGCTAACCATAACTGAAAACTTTCTTCTTTTTTTCTTTAAAAACTTTCTTTTTTTATACTGTTTATACAAACGAGGACATCCCCAAAAGGTTTGCCAGGTTTGCACTCAGGTTCTGGGAAAATCTGAATAATCGGTATACACACACGTTTACTTGGGACATTTCATTGACTTTTTGTATTCTATTGTTTTTGTATATAGCTAGTTCTAAACAATATATCCAAACAATAACACAAAACTTTCTGCATTTTTAGAAACTTTATTTTTATATAATTTTTTACAAATGATAAAAAGGTTTTGTCAGGTTTAGCTCACTTCTGGATAATAATCCATCCTAGGTGTATATGAAGTGAATAGATGCATTTGTGTAAAAAAAAAAATCCATATTTAAAACTTTATGAACCATCTCTGGGTGGTAAAAAAACAAACAAAAAAAGAACAAATGATATATATATATATATATATATATATAGTAGATAAACTATATAGTTGATAAAATTAAGCCTATTTCATGTCATTAAGATTATTTTGCATTGTGACGTTATTTTTATAACTATTATTCACATTTTGTCCAATTGTCATTACTGTAATGTGGAAAAAAAATGTAATTTAAATTGATTTAAAATGTGAATTAATTTATACATCATGGCAATGAATTTTTTTAAATATTGTAGTACAGCACTTTTACAGTACAATGCATATTTTTTACAGTATATTAATGGTACTCTAATGAGAATCACTTCATTTCCATATGCAAAATATATATTTTTTTTGGTGGGGGCAAATGTGACCTGGATCCAGACTGACCTGACCATTGCATTCTACCCTGCTTCAATTAACACACAGGTTTGTACAGCTGACTGAATGAGACATCAGATATGACTCGGTGATTTAGCAGTTTTTATGCAAAAAGCTCGGCAGCGAACTGGAAGTGACACTGGATCAGCTGTGGCTCTTTTAGATGACCGCACAACTGTGCCAGAGGGAGGAATGCCAATAATACAGGCTTAAAAGAGACATTTCACATTAAGACACTCTTAGAGGAATGACAGAAACTGTAGTCACTACTCAAGGCACACTGAGTATTTCAAGGCCTATCTGAATCCCTTAAAACTTGAATCTGGCAATTTCAGTCAGCTTTTGCCAATGTGCATCAGACGGGTGAGATGATCAAACATGTTCTTCACAAAGCGCTCGTGTGCATGGAGTCACCTGGATGCGAGAGTGTGCCAGATACACGTTTGTCTTCCAGTCGCTGGTCAGTCGGCGGTACTGAGATGACTTCGAGTGCACAAAGTGCTTGCTGTGAGAAGATCCTCTCTCTGCCACCGTTGAGTTCTGGATGCAATGAGATGCTCTGGACCACACGGAGAGGATCTTCAGCCTGTAAGGCGGCGATGACAGAAACAGAAAGAAAACATTATTTATGTTCCTCAACTCAAAAAGTAAAGGTCACCCATTAAATAATACATGCATGAGGAAATCTTTCACCGTGCCCTTTTTCGTCCTTACGTTCCTCACACAGATTTCGCTTGTATTCAAGCTGGTCATGCAAATTGACCAACATCTCTATTGACAACAACAATGGACCTGCAGTAGGGCTGTCAAAATGGCTGAAAAACTAAATTCGAATTTTGTGCTTAAATATTATCAAAATTCGAATTATATTAGAATTTAAAATGCATAATTTCAGTTAGGGTAAAGAAAAGCCAAAAGAGGGCGCATCGAGCATAAGATAACATGACTATCTGTGAAAAAAGTGCATAATGTTTAAAATAATGTTTATAAACCAATTATAATTAAGTAAGTTGCTTAAACAACTATAAACAAAACAGCATCATGTATGTATTCATAGTTTAATACAAAGGGCCGAAAGCCAATCACACAGCACATTTTTCATTTAAAAACATGAGTTGCAGTGAGATGGGGAAAAAACCCCGCCATTAAGTCTCGAGATATGTTTTTTCAAAGTTGAACTTGCATTAATTTTACATGGCTTTCTAAACATGCGGTTCTCTTGTGCGAGACGCGAGTGCAACAGTGATAGATGTCCCTCTAGAAAATGCGCAAAATATGTGTTCTGTGTGAACGGCTTGGTTTCAGTTTTGACGTAAACAAGATCTTCTCCGCATTGATGTTCTTTTTCCCCACAATATTTGTAATCAATAACGCATCAGCGCCGCATCTAGTGGCTTCAACTAGACAGGCTAACAAAAACATTATAATGCAACGACACTTACACCGTCATCGCATCTCGTGCGGTGCGCCACTGATAAGGCTGCCTCCTTAACGCACACCTAAAATGTGGATTTTTATTTTAAATTCGACGAATATTCGAAATTCTATTTATTTTTTGACAGCCCTAAACTGCAGGACATTTTAAGACCATTTTAAGACTAATTAAAGCGAATATAAGGATTAAATTAAAGGAAAAACAATATGTCAGTATATTCTCTGAATGTAAATGTCCAGGGAGCACAAAAGGAACTGTATGTAACATTTTGAAAATACAACTTCCAACAGATCTCCATTAATTTTTAATTAATTTTACAAACAAAAATAGCTTAACTAGAATTGATAATAACTTTTAGTGTACCTTCTGATTATATTGCTAAAACTTGATGTTCTTCCTCTATATTTTTGTCTTATTTTTAAAGTTTCTTAAATCAAGATACATTGAGAAGCAAAACGACAGAAGATAAGAAGTCTTGTTCTGAAAAACTGATCAAAACGAAGTGAATTTAAGATCTGTCAAAGGGGTCAGAAAAATCAACTTCATTCAAAGGGAAAACAAGTTTTCAGGCCCTTTTGACAGATACCTGTTTTTGCTTTAAGCATGAACTCCATTTTGTTCAATTTTAAGACTTTCTGCTACAGTTTAAGAACTTTTAATCTTCAGAAGGGCAAATTAAGAGTTAAGACCCGCAGAAACAGTTTTTTGCACATGCAATTTTTGCTGAAATTTTGTTTATGTGACCGAACCTTAATTTTTCCCAATACTGAAACACTCTTTTTACAAAATGCAGCTTCTTATTAACAAAATGCAGCTACTGACCTCTCATGATGGGGGTACGTCTGCAACTCAGAACGAGCGCAACCAGATGGATTGATGGACAGTGGAAGCACCAACATGGGATTACGCCCATAACGGAATCGATACCTCGAGCACGCCTCCACACCCGGCAGCTACAATAGAGTGACAAATCAGAAAATCAGCTCATCATAACAAACTGCATGTAACTGGGAATCTCACTTTACAATATGCAGTGAGTGATACTGAGGCTGACCGTACTAACCGATTCAACAATGCGGGTAACTGCTGAGATGGTGAGCCCAAACAGGTCCTCTCCCTTCAGATAGACGGGGAAGAGTCTCAGCATGCCCGTCTCAGCCCTCCTCTCAGCCACGGGCCCAAGAACCTTGTCCCAGACTCCTAGAGCACACAAAAAAAAAAAAAAAAAAAAACATCATGTCGCTGTCGCAGGTAGGACTGTTGAGATTATCTTTAACTGGCTTTAAATGAGAGCTACACAATCACGCTGAAATTTAAATTGTGATATGGCATAGCGTGATTATTGAACTTCAAAAAACTATGGGATATAGTTTTATGGGATGCATGTGGGTATTTTGGGGCAGCACTTTGTGTTGTCTTCTACTACACATTCAGAGTGTATATGGGGCTCATAAAAGTTTTTTTTTTGGTAGTCTCAGGGTGATTTGAAATATGTGCACAACAAAAAGGCATCCGAGTCCACTTTAATGTTCAGTTACAATGTGAATGCACAGAGAACAGTCCTTTTACACTCATTTCAGAATTGAAAGTGGACTTTAGAGTAACTCTATTGGCAGCAGATTGCGGCCAAAACATCACTTAGTTTGGAGACAAAAGGCAAGTTTGTAGTTATTTTTGTACACCCTTTTTGAACATTAAAGCTGCTGTTTCAATATGATGTTATGCCTTGTTACTGTTTTAGTCTGGTTTTTACTTGTTATTTTATGAGAGATGTTTAATGTTTATCATATCATAGTTCTGATCGATCATACATTTCAAAATAATACTAAAATACAAAAATATTTGCTCAGGGTATCTGCAGAGCTCAAATGTAAGACTTTTAAAGATGTTTTTAAGAATACTCCACACAGTCCACACAGAATAATCCCAAACAATCTCAAAATAAATCATGTATTGAGATTCTTAAGCTGAGGCACACATTCATTAAAGACTTAATACATCTTATTATCAAAACAGGGTAGTTGCAAATTTAAAATACTATTTTAGATGTTCTATTTAATATATAACATATAATGAAATTGGTTTATCTTATCTATTGATTTATCAATATATATGAATCAGAGGCCAAACAATATACAATAATGTGTTTAAAGAAAGGCATAATTTTAAGCCTGTGCTAGTAAAATCTCTATATTGAATGCGTTTAATGTTTATAGTCTTTTTTTTGGGAGGGGGCAAAACAGAGAAGTTAGTTTATGTTGAATTAAATGCCAGATACAGTTTAAGTAACCAAAATAGCAATAATAACCAGAAAAAAATACTTTATGCATAATGCAGGACTTGTAATTATACACAAGCCTGATAAACACCCTGATTTATTTTGAAATGTCGCTGTTTAACTATTTCCAGCTGCTCATAGAAAAGGTGATAGAGATAGAATATGCACTCTTACAACCACTTACAACATATAAATGCCACAAAGTAAACATTGTCATAATTCATCCGCAGCAATCTACTGGCACTGGCAATGCACAAGTGATTCACTGACCGCAAACTGCTCTGAAACTGCGGGCCGGTAGACTGTGCAACAGTGCCATGTTTTTACTTTCATTAAATCATAGCCATTTGAAGTTTAATAATCTGACTAGGCCGTATTGCAATTTTGTGTTTTTCATTCCCAAATTTAAGACCTTTTAAAGTGATAATTAAGACATTTAAGACTTTTTACGACTGTAAATTTGATCAAACTGAATTTAAGACATTTTAACTGACCCGTGGAAACTCTGTCAGCTTTTATATCAGTATATGTGACATAATTAATCGAATAGAGACTGTGATGGCTGTACCTTTAGCAGTGGTGTCAGTCAGCACCAGATCCTCGAAGCCCTGCTCAATGACACGGATGCTGAATTCAGGACGCCCCTCATGCTCTTCCACAGAGCAGACGTACCGGCAGCGCTTCTGGCCGTGCCGCATGCTCCAGTAGAGCCGGCTCGCCTCGTAGCCAGGTGGAAAGATGGCTATGGACGAATGAAACGTGGGCAGCAGGGTAGGTGGCAGCTGACCCATCGCATGGAAAAGCAAACTGCCCACTCTGAAAGTATGGCCACGTTCAGGCTGCTGTACGGCCGCCGCTAACTGTCGTAGCTCATCGCGCTGCACAAACACGCGGCGGAACACGGAGAAGCAGCGCAGCTGCTGTTCTAAGTGCAACCCGGTGGCGGTGCCAGATCCTCGCGGCCGGTGCTGGTGGCACAGCATCGTCTTATCCTTGAAAAATGTACAGCCGGCCTGCAGGGCACAGGTGAAGTGGTAGATGTTGAGGCAGCGCAGCCGATGGCAGCCACTGGTGGCACCCAAGCGCTGACAGAACACACAAACCACCGTTTGCCCTCGTTGACGAGCCAATTCCACATTGATCAGGGCCCCCGCTTGCGTCTCATAGACCTCCGAGGACCAGAGGGCGCAGTTGAGGTGCACCCAGGTGTCCAAGTCCAGGTTGAGCAGCCTGGCTGGGCCATCTGTCATCCCATCGCCTATCTGTTGGCAGAAGCAGCAGCGGCGCCGATCGAGGGTGGTTGAGCACGGCCGCAGAGATGAGTTGAGCTGCTGCAAAAGCTCCTCAACTTCTGACTCCGATGTTTGGGTGGCAACTTTTGGCATCGTGATGTGTACCGTCCACTTTCGCCAGCACAGGCCTTTCCACCTTTTGCCGTGATGCCATGGTTTGTCTTCCATGTGGCTCTGGGAATGTGGTTTAAGCTTTACCATCATTTTAAAATGGCTCTCCGATATGCTTTCAGGTTTGGATTCTATCTTGATCGCTTGAGCCGCCTCAGCTGGGGTGAAACCCGTGTGACGATTCAGAGAGGAAGGGGACGGTTTGGGCTGGAGTTGGGCCAGGCAGTGGACATCCAGTGAGGACATGTTGTTGCTGTACTGGTGCTGGACTTTAGAGGGACTCTGTTTCAAAGCACTTTCAGGAAGTAGAGCAGCAGATGCCTGGAAACGCAACACAGAAACATGAAATGCGTGCAACATTCATCATGCGTAATCAAGAGCAATTTATTCATCAGTCAAATAAAATCAGCCATGCTGTTTGCATATGGATTATGACAGAGAAAACAAACCTTGGTGTCGGCGTTCCCATTGGACTGAGAGGATGATGAGTGCAGAATGAGACAGCTATGACTGCAGAACACCAAACCACCATCCGAACATAACGGAGACTCCTGGGAGAAATCAGAGGAGGACATCGGGGTTTAAAAATGCTTGTCTTGTCTTTCTTTAATTGCATGTAATAATGCAAGTTGTTTCGCTTCTGAAAAATTACTTTCCTGCAGATGTAATTATGCATCCTAGGGGTGGGCAATATGGCAAAAATATCATATTGTAATATTTCTAGGTAGGATTACGATCCATGACCACATGAGTATTTTTAATGTTGGTTTTTAAGACTAATTTGCAAGTTACTGAGCAGTTAAAACTAGCAGGCCCTATAACTAAAGAAACACAGAACAGAACACAGTATGACAAGCAGCAGAACAAATAAATACAACAGTACAAAGATAGAAATTAAATAAACAATACTTTTTCAAGCAAGTATTCAGTAGTATTCAGGTAAGAAATACTACCGAAACAATGCAATCTGAAAGTAATCTTTAAAGTAATCAAATGTAAAATACAACATTGTAAGAATGAAATATACATAGATTTTTTATTATAAAATTACAAAAAAAAAGCTTTTCTCTTTTTTCTTTTGTAGTCTGATTAACATTAATGACAGACAGCAGCAGGTTTTTTAGGCTGCTGTCACTTTAAGACCTAACGCACTGATCTAATATACTGACACAAATCCTATTTTCTCCCAACTGTTTATGTTAACCTAAGACATTAGTAATTTTGTTAATGTGAATACTGGCCAAGGCGGGCATTTTGGCATATTTTTTGTGTGTATTTAACCATTTAGGCACACACCCGAAACCCAGAATATACTTAGCATGTTCATTTTCTGTTCATGACACAACGATCCAATCAATTCCCACTCAATACAATAAAGTCCCACCCTACATTTCACTTGGAAATATGTCACATTTCAGAACTAAAATGGGTTTCAAATGCCCTTTTGAATTCACTAAGGGAAAACTAAAATAACATATTCATACCTGTGCTTTGCCCTGCTCATCTTTGGTAATTTTTCTCACGCCATTGCCCAAGACAACCACTTTACAGTGTTGACACCATTGTTGCTTCGGTCCTGGGTTTTGCTGTATCTTCTTATTCTGCGCTCTACCACCAACAAGACCTGAAAGAGATCCACAGTTGTCAATAAACAGAAGAGGTTCTTCCTACCAGCTCTGATTAGCGCAAAAACAGCAATTACACAACAATAATAGAGAGCCGTGTCATTTCCCTGCAATGAAAGTGGTGTAATTTTGTATTGAGGTTTGTAATCTGATTCAGTACATTCATTAAGTGAGTATCTGACACAGATGAGCAGACTTCAATAGGATGGAGTTCAGGCCAAGATCACTACTGTGTTTAAGTAGCTTCTCCAATCGTTCACAAAATCAATAGTGATTTTCCATCAGCAGACACAGACACAATACTGCACAGTTAACAAGTGATGGATAAACAATTCCTGATTGCTATCCTATAATTGTATTTGTGTAAACATGCTGAATGCAACTGTGTACCAATCAGGTTAATTCTACCACTACATTCTGTATCCATGTATGTATTATGCACCATAAAATTTATTGATTTATTTATTCAGTTATTCATTTACTCATTGTTCCATCATTGTCAGGCATAATGTAACAAAAGTGTTTTATATATTATATATAAATATAAAATGTTTATTTGGATTTTTGATTTGATCAATATATATATATATATATATATATGGTGAGGTGAGAGTGTAAACATTCATAATGTTAAAAAGATTTATATTCCAAATAAATGCTGTTCTTTTAAACAGTCTATTCATCAAAGAATCCTGCTAAAAAAACCATAGTTTCCACAAAAATATTAAGCAGAACATCTGTCTTCAATGTTGATAATAATAAGGAATGTTTCTTGAGCAGCAGCTCATATAAAAATGATTTCAGAAGGATCATGTGACACTGTAGACTAGAGTAATGATGTTAAGCTATGCATCACAGAAATAAACTACATTTTAAAATATGTATTTAAACAGAAAACAAATATTTCAATTCGTAATAATTTTTCACTATATCACTGTTTCTACAGAATTTAAATGCAGCCTTGGTGAGCATAAGAGACTTTTAAACATTTAATTTACAAGCCCAACTTTTTTTTTTTTTCTTCTTAAAATACTAAAACCAAAATAATTTTAAATCACCTTTATGTTGCATTATACATATCCGATGTCAAGGATAACACAGAGAACATCTTTATGTAGACAAAGACGTATATTTGGCCTGAAACCACTGTTAGAAAGATTTAATGGTGACAAAATATGGATAAGCAGGTGTTCCTCACTTTTGATATGGTTGTGCAGAAGCTGCAGGTGTTGAGGTGCTTGCTGTGTGGCCCGCAGTCCATTCGGCTCGTGAAGTGCAGAGGTCAGACGCTGTGGATCCACCGAGGTCTTGATGGCCCCCATAGTTCCCCCCGGGCCGCTGCTGACCTCATAGCTGCTGGGGATCTTCACACGGATCAGGTCAGCAATGGCTGCAACAACATCAGTGATGTTCTGAAAGACCACAGTGAAGAATTAGAGGGGTTTAGATATTATATCATACATTATTTGAAATGTAGTAGCTGTGTTTATTGAGGCAAGCATCACTATTCTTACGGCTTATACTTAGGGTTCAGGCAGCAGGTTTTTCTTATTGGCAGAAACAACTCGCATTTTCTTCAGACAATGTAATAATCTAGTTATTTATACTACTTCTGCTCGCTCCATTTCAACTGACTGTTTGTAATATGAATTTAAATTATCTGTCAAATTTTGTGTATCTGCCCATTCTGTAGAAGGGAAATGGCTGTACTTCTTCCATGTTTTGTTGTACTTGATGTAATGCTCTTGTACTGTCATTCAAGAGACATTCTGCAGTGGTGCATCAAGTGATTTGGATAGAAACGGATTTCTCTGGTAAACATCACTGTTTCTCACCTCGGCAGCTGCTGGCTTCAGTGTGATGGCGATGGACACCAGTCCAGTGTTGGAGCCGTTTTGCACTGATCCAAATGGAGAGCCGAAGAACACTGATGAAGGCTCCATCTTGACCTCTCGTAACCTGAACTCTGAGCCTACAAAATAAGAGGAATAAACAAAAACAGATAAAAAATAAATAAATAAAAATTCCGCTGTGGTCACCCAGCAGAGCCCAGACCATTTATAATGTAAGCGTAGGCACAAAATGGAAAGAGTTTATTACCTTTGCCCCTAAAGACAGGAAACATTGGCATTACTGGAGACAGGGCTGGAGAAGGAGGCTCCTCCTTGACCAATGAGAGAGCAGGATAGCGGCTGATCTCCATGCCAACGACACTCTCTGGGGAAGACGACGGGACAAAGCTGTCTGGGGTGTCTCTGTCTTCACAGTGCTCCTGTCCCCTGTGTGTATAAGAAAAATACATTGTGCCGTTTTAACTGAGATGCTGAAAAATAGATTCAAATCACATTCAAAGTTCTGTCAACGTGCTATTTTGTTTCCATTACCTTTCCATTATCTTCAAAAGGGTTTCATCTGTGTTAAAGCATTTGCTCTGGAATAAAAGGCTGAACAAAGCCTTGATCAACCTTCTAGTGGATTTTGGTGTACATTTTTTTTTTTTTATTGTGTGATTGTAATGACATTTTTCAGTTTTTGGAGAAAGCGTTGGGCTTGGATTTGGCCTTGGACGAAGGTTAGCTAGCAGTCAATTCAGTTAGAACTTATAAAGAAAAGAAAAAAAAAAGAAACCGATTGTTACTGACTTTTACCGATCTTCATGACTTTTAAGATCATGATGTAAACAAAATCTGATCTTCACTCTGAAGTATGGCAGTACAATTACAACTTCTGGTTTTAACATTATAAATGTATTATAGAGGGAAGTTAAAAATCTGTGTAGGAGATAAGCCAAAAACAGAGACATTTTAACTTTCAACAGTCTCAAAACTTAGGAAAAACAAAGACAGAGTAAAAAGTAATTAAACACTATAAAATTCATCCTAGAGGACAGAAAACTTACCCTAAATGAGGAATCAACCCTTTATTTTACACCTAATGCTAAATCTTATAATATTCAAAACAAATTCATTTATAGCGATGCTAATATTTATTAGCATAAAGATATTAAGCTATGTTCTCAAAAATATGGTGTTTTTGTTTAGTTTGGATCAAATATGGGTGCTTTCTCAAAATGACAGGGAAACAATTATGTACACTATCATTCAAAATGAAAAAGTATGAGGTCAGCATGATTTCTTAATGTTGAAGAAATCTGAATTTTCATTAGCCATTACTCCAGTCTCCCTGGTCCCTGCTAATACATCTAGAACTTAGCAAAATTGCAATTATAACTATTCGGTTACTGAAAATACACATTTGAAGGTCAGACTTTGATATAACAGAAATGTTAAAAACATCAATGGGAAGTGTAATCCCAGTTCTTGTTATCTGTCTACTGACCTGAGTTCTTCCTGGTTGTTATGAGGTGGGGTGGGAAGAGAGGCCGGCACATTCACAGTTTTGGGCCCCTGAGCCAGAGCTCGAGCCAGCAGCTCCTCCTCAGCCTTAAACTGCAGCGGTCGAGAAAGCAGCCCTTTGGTGACTGTTCAAACAAAAACATTGGTGTCATTATGAATATTATAATACATGTATTTTTATCTATGTTTTGGGTTGTTGCTATAACTTGTTCACCATCATGGCCAACAATGACGCCACCTTTGCTGGCAAGCTCCTCTGTTGTGGCAAAGCCATTGAGCAACTTCTGGCGCGCCACTGGAGGAGGAGTCGGGGGCAGGGAGGCAGGAGGTGTGGGAGGGTTACTCAAATTATTCTGCTGCAGAGAGAGAGAAATATGAGTGACCATCTGCACATCTCATACATGAAATCTAATAAGTGGAGTTTACTGCTGATGTCACGCAACTTGAAGTAGGTCATAAAAAAGCTTCAGCAGCAAATGTAATCATGGAGTGTTTTATTAGCTGCTCTTAATTACCTTGTAAATCAGCTGGGAGTAATAGTCAGAGACACCGTCCAATGAGGCGCTCCCAAATGTACCCGAGAGACGGCTCTCTCCGTCCAGCTGTCCGCCCCCAAAGGGCACGAAATGGGCAAAGTTCACCCCCACCAGAGGCTCCATTAGGGGCAAGAGAGAAAGCTGCTGGTGCAGTGAAACGATGAGACAAAGAGAGACACAAGGGAAACGTGAGATAAAGGTCATGCTTAGAAAAGTGTTTGAAGAGAGACCTGCACTCATGAGGTCCTATATGAATGTTATTAAGAAAACTGACAACTTCTCATGTGATGAGCAAAAGGTATGAGATGCATCTTATGCCAAGACCCTTTAATCGTTTAAACATTTTTTTATTTCACAGTGACGATATTTACTATTATATTAAAAGACAATATACTTTAATTATTAAAAGATATTAAAATGTTATTAAAAAAGAATTAAATTGATTTGATTGATTTAGTATATAGTTAGATTGAACCAAATATGGGTGCCCTCTCAAAAATACAGAAAAAATAACTTTACTGTTGAAACGTTTGGCGTCAATACGATATTTAAATGTTTTTAAAATGCTCTTATGAACACCAAGGCTGCATTTATTTTGAGCAAAAATACAGTAAAACTCTACTGTGAAATATCATTACAATTTAAAACATTTTTAAAAGTTTTCTATTTAAATGTATTTTATTCCTGCAATGCAAAGCTGCATTTTCAGCATCAATAGTCTTCAGTGTCACATGATCCTTCAGAAATAATTCTAATATGCTGATTTGCTGCTCAAGAAACATCTCTTCTTATTATTTTAAATGTCTTTATTGTCTTCAAACAATTTAATGAATAAAAGACAAAAAACTAAAGTACTATTATATTAAAAGACAATATACTTTAATTATTAAAAGATATTAAAATGTTATTAAAAAAGAATTAAATTGATTTGATTGATTTAGTATATAGTTAGATTGAACCAAATATGGGTGCCCTCTCAAAAATACAGAAAAAATAACTTTACTGTTGAAACGTTTGGCGTCAATACGATATTTAAATGTTTTTAAAATGCTCTTATGAACACCAAGGCTGCATTTATTTTGAGCAAAAATACAGTAAAACTCTACTGTGAAATATCATTACAATTTAAAACATTTTTAAAAGTTTTCTATTTAAATGTATTTTATTCCTGCAATGCAAAGCTGCATTTTCAGCATCAATAGTCTTCAGTGTCACATGATCCTTCAGAAATAATTCTAATATGCTGATTTGCTGCTCAAGAAACATCTCTTCTTATTATTTTAAATGTCTTTGTCACTTTTTCTTCAAACAATTTAATGAATAAAAGACAAAAAAAATGTTAAATTGCTAACAAAACACACATGTAATGAGCAACTTTTTTGATAGAGAAAACTTAATTCAGGAGATTTTAAAATTGCTGTGTCGATTCCAGATTCCTCAGTCATAGAGCTCATTCTCTACACCAGTGACTTTCTTTCATGTGATGAGCGTTCATAATGCCTCACAGCACCACCCTCCTTTGTACTGTGATTTCTATTGTGATGATACGCTAGACATGAGTTGACATGGCACAGCCTCTCCTGTCTGTAATCATGTCTGAGATTAAAAGCAGAACATGCTAGACTCTTTCTCATAGTGCATGACAAAGTGGCTTCGACAACCACATATATACCAGACCACCGGGCGTAACTCAAGAAATTATTATAGCAATGCAAAAAGTGTATGATATCTAACATTGAGTGGATTTGCTACAGCAAAAATCACTTTCTTTATTAGCATTTCGTCTTTTTTCCTCAGTAAAAATACATAAACGTCCTCAAAAGAAGATACATTTAGAAAGGTTTAGAAACACTTTACAAAAAGGTTCCATTATGTTAATTACATTAGTTGACAAATTAACAATGAAAATACTTTTAAAGCATTTATTAATCTTAGTTAACGTTGATTCCTACATTTTCTAATACATTATTAAAATCAATTTATGATTTATAAAAGATCATGTGACTCTGAAGACTGGAGTAAAATTCAACTTTGCCATGGAATAATGAAAAATGAACACTATTAATATTGCTCATAATGCTAAATGATAAGCTGCAGTGCGAGTCAAAAAGAACACATTTCTTGTTTGGTGTTTATGAAGGGATCCCTACTGACAGGGCTATGACAGACTGAAAATAAAAATGATTTTTCGTCGTACCTGTTTTAACTGGGTCATCACTGGCTCAGTAGAGGAATACACTGCTTGATTCTCGTCCCCTTCTTTCTTCCGCTTTTTACAGCGGGGAGTGGGTCTGTCTCCATTCTTGGGTGCCCTCTTGTTCCTCTGTTTCTTCTTGTCCTCTGGAAGTAACGGTCCAGGGAAATCAGGGTGATTTGAATCTGAAAATGTCTGTGGGGACGGAAAAATTACACCGTTAAGACAAAGAGTTCATAAATACACATGTATTAAAATGAAAATGATGCATCCTGAATCACTCACCCCAGTGCTGTCCATGGAGCTCTGTCGCAGAAATGCTTTGTAGTCTGTGGATCCCTCTTCCTCTGACCTCAAACGGTCTTCAGACCTCTGGTGGGGCAGTGCAGGAGGTGGAGTCCTCTTATTCTTCAGGAGGTGTTTGAGGAGTTCATTCCCAGCATCTCCTTTGAAGCTGTTGGCTGGACTTTGGCTCGCAGGATGAGGCAGCATTCCTTCCCTCTCTCCCTCTACCTTGACCATGCCTAGTCCCATTTCCATCTCCATTCCCTTATGCCCGTGGCAGTCACTCGCCTCCACCTTCTCCAATTTGATGTTGGACAGGATCCTGTCATGCATCTCCTGTTGGGTCATGGCCATCTCTGGCCCTCCACCACAGCTGCCTTCAGAGAGCTGGCGCTCCAGCTCAGAGTGGAGCTGGCTGCTCATGGAGCCTGGTGTAGACGATCCAGGCTGGGACGTCTCGCAGAACTCATGGTCGCCAAAGACCATTGGGTTCCTTGTCGGTGTGGATGATGTATCTGACACGCAGGGTGTTAACGGGGCTGTCAGGTCCGAGTGAGGTGTGGAAGGAGCTCTCAGGGACTCACAATCATCATCTTTCTTCTTCTTGCGGTTCCTTTTCTTCTTGCCCTTCTCCTCTGGAATGATGTTGGAGTACAGCTGGATAAGTGACGGACCGGGACCTGGAAAGTTTGGAGGCAAGGGCGTGGGACCCTCCATTGGAAACTGATGCGCTTGAGTTGGATTCTGAGGCATCATGTTTGGCCCAGGATATCTCTGAGGTCTAGCTTGTGCTTGGACAAAGTTAAGCCCATGGGGTGCTAGGTTCTCAGAAACAAACCCCGGTCCCATTTCCTGAGGGAATGGACCGTTACCCATCATTGGTCTGGATGGTCCTCCAACGAACCCTGGTTGCATGCCTTGCTGCTGTGGAAATGGTGGACCTTGCATCTGCTGCTGCATTCTGGGTGACTGTATGAAGTCCTGCGGTAGCTCCTGGTTATAAAAAGGCATTTGGGACAAGGCCCTCATGGTGCCATCTTGGCAGTTAGGGACTTGCTGTTGCTCCATGCAGTGTTTCACCCGCTGCCTTTCCACCTCCTTCATGAGCTGCACCCTTTGTCTCTCCTGCTGCTCGCGTAGTCGCTCCTTACGCTCACGTTCCTGGAAGCCTTCGCTAAATGGGTTGGTATCGTCGAAATTCATGCCCCCCGCCTGCTCCTGACCGGGCCTGACCATTGCCGGCTGCGGAGGCTGTGCCTGCACTACTTGAGCGGGCATTACTCCTGGCATCTGAGGTCCTCCACTGGGAACAGGTGCACCAGGGTGCCAACCTGCTGTGTTGCTCACATTAGCTGCATCTGGTTGGCTAGGGTGGAGACGAATGGGCATCATGGGACCCATCATAGGTTGGTTCACTGGGGGCCCAATTGGCATCATACCAGCATGAGGCTGCATTGGTGGCATTCCATGCATCATTGCGGGCTGCATGCCACCTTGTTGCTGCTGTTTAACCCTGTACTCCTCTATCAGCTCTGCATGCTCCTTCTGCTGTTTGCGAATCTGGAAAAAACAGACACATTTTACATTTAAAAATCTTAAATTGGACTGTTGAGGAATAGGGAATATGTTCTTGCCTCTATAATATATGGTGGTGAATCCTTGAAACAACGTATGAATTAAGCCAGCAATGGTATTTTAGAAATAATACTCTTCATTAGACATGAATTCATTGTAAATGTAGCAGACAGTAAAAACATAATGTAACAAAAGATTTCTATTTCAAATAAATGCTGTTCTTTTGAAATGTCTCCTCAGCAAAAAATCCTGACAAAAAATGTAACGGTTTTCACGAAAATATTAAGCAGTACAACTGTTTTCAACATTAATAATAATAATAATAAGAAATGTTTCTTGAGCAGCACAATGATTTCTGAAGGATCATTTGACACTGAAGACTGGAGTGAAATTCAACTTTGCCATAGAATAAATAAAACTATAACATGTTTTAAAACAGAAAACTGTTATTTTGACCTGTAATAATATAGTAATGTTAAATGATAAGCAGTAAAATATTACTCATAATGACCACATTTCTGGTTTGGTGTTTATGAAGAGATATTTAAGCCCTACTGACGGGCGTGGAAGTACATACGACTGACCTAGACTGAAAATATAAAGGATTTTTCATTGTACCTGTTTTAACTGGGTCATTACTGGCTCAGAGGAATACACTGCTTGATCCTCGTCCTCCTCTTTCTTCCTCTTTTTACAGCGGGGAGCGGGTCTGTCTCCGCTCTTGGGTGCCCTCTTGTTCCTCTGTTTCTTCTTGTCCTCTGGAAGAAATGGTCCGGGGAAATCAAGGTGGTTTGAATCCGAGAACGTCTGTGAGGAAGGAAAAATGACACCATCAAGACGAGAGCTCAAAAATACCCATGTTTTGAGATGACAATATCTCCTGAATCACTCACCCCAGTGCTATCCATGGAGCTCTGTCGCAGAAAAGCTTTGAAGTCCATGGATCCCTCTTCCTCTGACCTCAAACTGTCTCCAGACCTCTGGTGAGGCAGTGCAGAAGGTGGAGTCCTCTTATTCTTCAGGAGGTGTTTGAGGAGTTCATTCCCAGCTTCTCCTTTCGAGCTGTTGGCTGGACTTTGGCTCGCAGGATGAAGCAACATTCCCTCCCTCTCTCCCTCTACCTTGACCATGCCTAGTCCCATTTCCATCTCCATTCCCTTATGCCCGTGGCAGTCACTCGCCTCCACCTTCTCCAATTTGATGTTGGACAGGATCCTGTCATGCATCTCCTGTTGGGTCATGGCCATCTCTGGCCCTCCACCACAGCTGCCTTCAGAGAGCTGGCGCTCCAGCTCAGAGTGGAGCTGGCTGCTCATGGAGCCTGGTGTAGACGATCCAGGCTGGGACGTCTCGCAGAACTCATGGTCGCCAAAGACCATTGGGTTCCTTGTCGGTGTGGATGATGTATCTGACACGCAGGGTGTTAACGGGGCTGTCAGGTCCGAGTGAGGTGTGGAAGGAGCTCTCAGGGACTCACAATCATCATCTTTCTTCTTCTTGCGGTTCCTTTTCTTCTTGCCCTTCTCCTCTGGAATGATGTTGGAGTACAGCTGGATAAGTGACGGACCGGGACCTGGAAAGTTTGGAGGCAAGGGCGTGGGACCCTCCATTGGAAACTGATGCGCTTGAGTTGGATTCTGAGGCATCATGTTTGGCCCAGGATATCTCTGAGGTCTAGCTTGTGCTTGGACAAAGTTAAGCCCATGGGGTGCTAGGTTCTCAGAAACAAACCCCGGTCCCATTTCCTGAGGGAATGGACCGTTACCCATCATTGGTCTGGATGGTCCTCCAACGAACCCTGGTTGCATGCCTTGCTGCTGTGGAAATGGTGGACCTTGCATCTGCTGCTGCATTCTGGGTGACTGTATGAAGTCCTGCGGTAGCTCCTGGTTATAAAAAGGCATTTGGGACAAGGCCCTCATGGTGCCATCTTGGCAGTTAGGGACTTGCTGTTGCTCCATGCAGTGTTTCACCCGCTGCCTTTCCACCTCCTTCATGAGCTGCACCCTTTGCCTCTCCTGCTGCTCGCGTAGTCGCTCCTTACGCTCACGTTCCTGGAAGCCTTCGCTAAATGGGTTGGTATCGTCGAAATTCATGCCCCCCGCCTGCTCCTGACTGGGCATGACCATTGCCGGCTGCGGAGGCTGTGCCTGCACTACTTGAGCGGGCATTACTCCTGGCATCTGAAGTCCTCCACTGGGAACAGGTGCACCAGGGTGCCAACCTGCTGTGTTACTCACATTAGCTGCATCTGGTTGGCTAGGGTGGAGACGAATGGGCATCATGGGACCCATCATAGGTTGGTTCACTGGGGGCCCAACTGGCATCATACCAGCATGAGGCTGCATTGGTGGCATTCCATGCATCATTGCGGGCTGCATGCCACCTTGTTGCTGCTGTTTAACCCTGTACTCCTCTATCAGCTCTGCATGCTCCTTCTGCTGTTTGCGAATCTGGAAAAAACAGACACATTTTACATTTAAAAATCTTAAATTGGACTGTTGAGGAATAGGGAATATGTTCTTGCCTCTATAATATATGGTGGTGAGTCCTTGAAACAACGTATGAATTAAGCCAACAATGGTATTTTAGAAATAATACTCTTCATTAGACATGAATTCATTGTAAATGTAGCAGTATGTCTTACATCAGAAAATATTATTTCATTATATACTACGGGGCTGTTGAATGCTTGAATGTGATTGGCTGATGAATGTTCTAAGGTGTGCAATTATTTTCAGGGAAACGCACGGTCTTGACCGCATTATATGTCAATATCACTTCGCCAAATGATTTCCAAGCCAAGCAAATATATAGTAAACGCCAAGATAAAATCAACAAATTATTTCCCTGTTTTTGCCACAAAACTACTTTTATTATGTACAGAAACATACATGTGCACAGAAATGTGTTGTTAGCACTGCTCTGATGATTTTAGCAAAGTAAAAGCTACATGCCATATCTCACTAGCGAGGTAAAACAGCGCTGTTCTTGAAGCAGATGAACTTCATGAACTGTTCCGCTATTAGTAGAGACATTGCTGCTGAACACTGTTGAGAGGCGCACAGACTCACGTAATTCACACAAGCTTAATCACTCACTCACTCTCTCACTCTCAACAACAGAGACGTTGGATGAGATGCGTAAGAAATTAGTCCTACAAATAAGATAGGTTTAAGGACAAAAACCTGACAAATGTCTTGAAATACAATATCTGAACAATATTTGAGGTGTGGTAACCATAGTATAAGCAGAATAATCGACTCCTGTCTGTTGAATTATTAGAAAATAATGCACACCCGAGCTTGAGGAAAGATAGCTGACGCTTCACGTCCTGGCCACATCACCACCTCGGGTGTGCATTATTTGATAATAATTCAATGGCCCGTCGTCAATATTCCTTAGGTATATTACCATTTCAATTTGTTCAAACCATAGCTGAACCACAGATTTAACAGATATTTATTATCAGAATGTGTTCTGTCCTTGATTACTGCAAAAAACTTGTTAGTGTAAATGATCATTTCTAACTTTGACTATTACAAAGAGAAACAGTCATCCAAATATTTAAGTACTTAAGGAATCTGTATTCACTGTTAACAATTCTGAAAAACAACTAAATAATGAGATGATTAAGTTCACACTAAGGACAATAACTATCTCTAGTTTTAAAAACGGTTCTAATTTTGGGAGAATAGTGACGTCCATGCCACAACTTTAGCGCTAACAACACAGAGGAACAATATAATTTGAATCACTTTCAGAGTGTTTTGTTTTCCATCTGATGAAAGATAAAGCCGATCAGAGTCACCTGACTTTAAAGAGCTTGATCATTTAAAGCAGCAGACAACAATAAAATCAACAAATTATTTCCCTGTTTTTGCCACAAAACTACTTTTATTATGTACAGAAACATACATGTGCACAGAAATGTGTTGCTCTGATGATTTTAGCAAAGTAAAAGCTACATGCCATATCTCACTAGCGAGGTAAAACAGCGCTGTTCTTGAAGCAGATGAACTTCATGAACTGTTCCGCTATTAGTAGAGACATTGCTGCTGAACACTGTTGAGAGGCGCACAGACTCACGTAATTCACACAAGCTTAATCACTCACTCACTCTCTCACTCTCAACAACAGAGACGTTGGATGAGATGCGTAAGAAATTAGTCCTACAAATAAGATAGGTTTAAGGACAAAAACCTGACAAATGTCTTGAAATACAATATCTGAACAATATTTGAGGTGTGGTAACCATAGTATAAGCAGAATAATCGACTCCTGTCTGTTGAATTATTAGAAAATAATGCACACCCGAGCTTGAGGAAAGATAGCTGACGCTTCACGTCCTGGCCACATCACCACCTCGGGTGTGCATTATTTGATAATAATTCAATGGCCCGTCGTCAATATTCCTTAGGTATATTACCATTTCAATTTGTTCAAACCATAGCTGAACCACAGATTTAACAGATATTTATTATCAGAATGTGTTCTGTCCTTGATTACTGCAAAAAACTTGTTAGTGTAAATGATCATTTCTAACTTTGACTATTACAAAGAGAAACAGTCATCCAAATATTTAAGTACTTAAGGAATCTGTATTCACTGTTAACAATTCTGAAAAACAACTAAATAATGAGATGATTAAGTTCACACTAAGGACAATAACTATCTCTAGTTTTAAAAACGGTTCTAATTTTGGGAGAATAGTGACGTCCATGCCACAACTTTAGCGCTAACAACACAGAGGAACAATATAATTTGAATCACTTTCAGAGTGTTTTGTTTTCCATCTGATGAAAGATAAAGCCGATCAGAGTCACCTGACTTTAAAGAGCTTGATCATTTAAAGCAGCAGACAACAGCTGCAGCACACACTTATATTAAACAGATGGTTATCGTCCATTGGTGTGGACCTATTGTTATAGTTATTGTTCTTGGTGTGAATTGGCCTTAAATAAAATAACAAGGTGCATTGTTTTCAATGATGAAATGATATGTGTATTGTAATTTACTTTTCAACACTATCAAAATACTTTTTTGATATTGTTATAAACTGAAAACTGTTTAAATCCACAAATGACTGATATTATGTGTGTGCTTTACCTGTTCCAGCTGTTTCTGCACCACACCCTGCTGTTCTGTCACATGTTTCAGCTGCTCCGCATCCTCATCAGGAAACTCTCGTCCTGCTTTCTTGGCAGTTCTCTGCTTGGCTGACAGGGCCTTTTTTGACTTTCTGTGGGCCCCTATCTGCTCCTCCAAATACTTCTGCTGCATCTGAAGCAGCTGCTGGGTTTCCCTGAGCCAGTCCTCATACTGAACCTTCTGTGCGTCACCTTGATGGGGAAAGATTGGAATTAATTACTAGCATACATACAAATGCATTTACAGATACATGTTTGTGATTAAATGTAAAATGGCAATTTAATATATGCTTAGTTTTGAATTACATTACACATTATACACATCTTTACACAATATGGACTGTATTACTAATCTATAATTATTAAAGACTTACGGGCAAATCCTGTCCCAAAATTTGGGGGATTGGGTCGTGCCATGTGAGGACTAAGTTTGCCATCCTAAATGAGAAATTAACAGAACAAAGAGACAATCATTATGGACTTGAACTGCAAACCTTTTTTTTGTTTTTTGCATTGACTAAAGAAGAAAATCTGCCAAATTCTAAGAAATACAGCTACTGATTACTACACACTTATTGGGAGGTAAAGGAAAATCAAATTAGCCAAAATATTTTATAAACACACAAGATGCAGGCGTTCAAATTTGGCTGAAATCTGCAACATTTTCTGCAGAGTTCTACAGGCTCAGATTCCATGTGGGCCTGCTGATAAGAAGAAATCTGATTTGAGTCTCACCTGTCCAGCCAACTGTATTGGAGTTATACCTCCATCAGGGTCTGATACCGCCTGCTCTGTCTGGACACTAATTGAGATTTTGTGAAGGAGAATAATGGAAGAGACATTACTGCAAAAGCTCATAAACTGAAATATATCGAATAATATTTCAGTCAAGTAAACGAGTTTATTAACTCACTTGTTCATCACCATAGGAGACATTCCCATGTTGTTCTGGACCATCATCTTATTGATTCCTTTCAATGCAACCATCTTTGCCTTCATTATGGGGTCTGTGATAGCATCAAAATCTGAATAAATCAATGGAAAAGTATGCAAATTTAAGCAAATTATAGTCAAGTACACAGTTTCTTAAAAAATATAAAGTACAGATATTAAATTGTTTAGCTTGTGATAAACGGAGTAAAAATGTGTTTTAATGGATTATTCTGTTAAATATAAGTAAAGCTCTATCCACAGCATCTGCAGCATGGTACTGATTACCACCAACAAAAAATTTCAAACATCAGTTTGTAAAAACAAAAGAAGTTTTACTTTCAAATCAAAGTTTATGCACCAATTCCATCAGAAGTGCATTGCATATATATGCCATTTACTCAAAATTACAATCAAAATTACTCACAGTCAGGATTGCCAGCCGAACAGCAGGTTGAAACTGTTCAAAACTGTTAAAATTTAGCAGTTTGTGCAAAACCACATTTTTTAAATAGTTGCAATAAAGTAGTTCTATGTGCACAATGAAATAGTCAAATGTTGTACAATGAGTTTCTTATCTTTTCAGTCTTTGACCAGCCGTTTGCCACATGCAAAACAGACAAAGGCCTAATCTCGCATAAAGAACAAAATGACAATACTCACTTATTATATTTGCTACCCCTTACCTATGTTAGGGAAGAATGACTCGCTGGAACGCTGTCTTATCATAGCTTGCATTTGCTGCTGCTGCTGCTGCTCCTGTCTCTCCTGATCCAGGAGGTCTTGGAGAAGAAGTGGCTGCTCTTCCAGAAGCAGTGGTCTGTTCTGATGGCCTTCCTGTGACAGCATCGCCTGTTGAATAAGAATACGGTGTTGTTCCCCTGAGAGTACAGCATCCTTTTGATCAATACCAAAAATATGGCTTTGTTGCTGTTCCTGAATGGAGCCTGGGACTGCTAATGCACTTTCACCATGAGAAAACACCAAAGACTGGTCAATACTGAGGCCAGTATCCATCCCCTGCACTGAGAAGTTTCCTTGCCCCAGCATAGTGCTACTGAGTGACATGGTAGCTTCATGATTTGGAGGGTTGCTTTGTGCCGCTGACTGTCCACAGTGTTCCTGCTTCTGTGATTCACCTTCTAGTGGTACATTGACCAGCATGCTTGAAAACACTGGAGAAGCATCGGGGTGAATTCCAGACTTTGGAACCTGTAAACTGGCATCAATATCATTTTCAAAGCCAGTTTGATTAATGGCAGCACTATCATTTACCTGATTCTCACAAGAGGTGTCTTGGGACAAGCAATCTTTAATTCCATTTTTGCTATCCTCTTCTGTTTTCAAGGAAACCAGCACCTGATCCTGGGGAACGTCTTGACTGATGTGACCTTGAGATTGAGCAGTATTGACCATTTCCTTCGCTGTCGATGTAGAGCATGATGATGATGAGCCATCAAAACTATCAGTCTTTTTCTCTGCTTTTGTCTTTTGGAAATCAGACGTCTCAGTGTGGTCTTCTATTGGATCACTGAGATCCAGGTCCTCGCTAAGATCTAAATCAGCATCAGCATAAGCAATTATATCAAATTTCCCAGACGTTAAGAAGTCATCTAGATGCAGGTCATTTGTTTCAAGATCCAAGTCCTTTCCATCATCTGGATCGAGATTTAGGTTTTCTAAATCGGCATCGACAAGGTCCTTCACCTCAACATCTTCAAGGTCCTTCACAGCAGATTCATCAGTATCGATTTTCTCCTCCGGTACTTCATTTGTGGATAAAGGGACCTCACTGTTTTGTACAGCAGATGTAGCAGCAATACTTGTGAGTAAGGGAGCACTGAGAGTCTCGTTGGAAGCAGGTTGGCTTATAGACCTTGTCAGGGGGATATGTGGATGTCCAGTTCTCAACAGAATATTGGCCTGCTGTAAATTCCCCAAGCTGAGAGATGCCTGCATCTGCGTATTAGCTACCTGAGATTGATTAATTGTTGTGTCCATTGGTTTTGGAATCTGATTGAAGGGGAATCCCATTTCTTGGCCACCCATGAAACCTGGGGGTCGTTGCTGTAAGGGCGATTCCATTCCATTTCCCTGCATAGTAGGAGTTCCAAAGGGAAGCCGCAGTCTGTTATCTGGCACTCTGTGTCTCAGTTCTATGAAGGGCTGCCCCATGATGTTGTGCTGTTGCACGTGCATGCCACTAGGAGGCAAATGTAAGGTTACTAAAGGGTTGCCTCCTACTGATTTTCCCAAATCCATAGATATGGATCTTCTCATCTGTGGATGAGTTTCAATTATTGGGTCCTGCATCTGATGAGGCCTTGGAGCTCCCAGAGGACCTTGGACATTAGGAGTGATGGGCATCCTAAAATCAACAGGAGAACATTATTATTTTTGCAGTGTTTGAAAAACTTTAGTCCCTACATTTCATACAAATGTTTTGAAGTATATAAAATCACCCACCTTGGCCCAAGCTGCCTTATATTTGAGTCAGCATCCCCAGGAAACTGTGGTCTAGGAAACTGGCCTTCAGGGAAATGCCCCTGCTGATCTCCTGGGAATGGCCCATGGAATCTCTGAGGGGCTCTTACAGCTCCGGAACCAGGATATGGTGGTGGCGGGCGATTAAACATTTCACTCGGTTGGCCTGTAGACTCCTGACTCCAGCGCTGAGGGGTTCCTGGAGGCATGGCCAGAGGATGATCCTGTACACCCTTATCTTGACGTATGGCACTTTTCTGCTGTTGCTGTTTGAGGATCAACTCTCGAATACGCTGACGCTGTTAACAAATTAATGTTGTGTTAAATGTTGTTGTACAAATTATATATTGTAACTAATACAGTGCACTTAATAAAACAAATAAACCATCTTAAATAGAGTAGCAACAAAATAAAACAACACCTGTCTGAGTCTTTCCTCAGCTTCTGCAAGAGGTACCATTTGAGCTTCAGAGCTGGGCTGGCCCATGGTGTGGGAACTGATACTCTGTACCAAACCTTGTTGCTCTTTGTTTTCTCCACACTGAGGATGTGGAAGCATGGGGGCCTGCTCAAAAGGGTCATGGATGGGAGTTTGATTGGGTTGACTGGACAGCAGCTGAGATCCGGTTTCGTCTGTCATGCCCAGATGTTTGAGGGGCTGAGGTCCATGTTTTGTTGGACTGGCAAATGTGCCTTGCATCAAGACTTGAGGAGGAGAGAATGGATCTTGATTAGACATGGGCCCAGGTCCCAAGCCCTGTCCGACGCCTCCAGGATGAGGTGTTCGTAAGGGATGTGCACATGAATCATTAGGTAATGACTGGGACCTTCCCACCGACTGTGCATGAGGATCGGGCCCAACAGTGCGTGGCAGTCCGGGAGGTTGAATAAAAGGATCTGGAGTCCTTTGGTGACTTGGAGACTTGGGGAACCGGTCTGCCATTCCTGAGCGTGGGGTACCAGGGGGTTGTGCGTAAGGGTCCATTGATATAGGGGACATTATGCGGTTTTGAGTCTGCTGCTGAGACTGTTGAGAGGGCTGATTCATCATGACTGGATGGCGAGATACAGGCTGCTGAGAGTAGGGTTCAGGGTCATGTGGTCTAGGTGTGCCTGGCATCCTAGCGTATGGGTTAGAAAATGGAGACTGGGTCAAAGGGTCACTTGAAGGTCTTGGTGTAGCAGGTTGTTGTCCATAGGGATCGCACTGGGAATAGTCTGGCCGAGGGGTGGAGGGGGCTCGAGCATATGGATTACAGGAAGGCTGACGTGCCATTGGCCCAGGCTGAGAAAAAGGGAGAGTTTGGGGCTGTCGTGGAACCCTTTGATTTGCATAGCCATCACTAACTACAGGACGAGGAGTGAGCGGAGGCTGCGCATATGGATCATTCTGTTGATTCTGGGAGAATCCCTCAGAGGAACGAGGAGGCATCATTGGTCTTTCGAAGGGATCCCCACTTGCTCTCCGGGCAAGCATGCCTGCATATTGTTCCTGAGTCTGAGGGGGTGGCATAGGGGTTTTAAAGACCTGGACGGACCCTGATTCATTGCTGCCTGGGATAGGTGTGAGTAAAGGACGAGCATATGGGTCTGAGAGTATCATCCTGCCCTGAGGCATCCTCTGGTAGGCTTCCTTTCTCACAGACACCCTAGAGAATGGATCATGGCCTGGGGAGCCAATAAGATGCCTCCCTTCCAAAGTCTGACTAGCTCTGGGAGGGCACATAGGTTTGAGAAAAGGGTCTGGAGCTCCTGCTGGCCTTGGGGTGTCTGGGGGCTTGGCATAGGGGTCATTACATATGGCTGTTGGAGAATCAATTGGCTCTGAAAGACCTCTGGGAGATTTCCCTGATTCTGAGTTATGGCGTGGATTTCCCTGCCCAGTAGTTGGTGGTCTGGGTGTGCCTACCATTTTGGTGTAGGGATCCCAGGGTGAGGATGGTCTAGAGCCAGAGGAGCTAGGGGAGAACATCTGAGGGCTCTGTGGCTGAGATCCTGAAGATGGGGGTGGTGGATGAGGGCGCAAAAAGACGTCATCTGGGGAACACGATGTGGGCGTGCCGGGCAGCTGTGACTTTGAAACCTCATTTTTTGAACTGGGCTGCTTGGGAGACATGTTCCCATTGTTGGAATGCACAGACACTGGACTCTTCAGGTTATTGGAAGAGTCATCCTCAGATTGGCTGATTGACGGGAGCGGTTGCTGCTGCTGCTGTTGAAGTTGTTCATTCTTCACCTGCTCAAGTTTCTGTGTAGCTTCAATCCTAGCTTGCTGCTTACTTTTCTGTCTCATTTGCTGCAACAAGTGGAAAAAATATATATTAATGATTAAATAATAAGAAAATGTACCATATGTGATTTATTTAAAATACATAATGTATTACAATTACAATAAAATTCATTCAATAGTAATAAATCAAACCAAATTATCTGTTGACAAGCTTAATTACTTCTTGGCAAATGGGAACACACAGATGTAACTCATTTGAAGTTCTGAGAAGTTCCTAAGATGTCCGAGTTTATGCATGAAGAAAATATCACATTTCAAACATTTTCCATATTCCTTTCTGCCCTCTCAAGTAAACAAATATGCTTTAGTAGAGTTTATTCCGAAGGCTGCCCATGCAAACATTTCAACATTAAAAACAGTAGCACAAAATGCAGTTGTGACATATTTGTTACACGTTTGTTGTTTTTAATGTTATGCTCTCGATGAAAAATGAAACTTGTGTCTCAGTTCTACAAATTAGACAATTAAAGACGTAGAGAAGCCATTTATATCATTTACTTGCTGTTGACAAAACCAAAACATTTCTGGCAGTCAACAATTTAGCTCTTTTCCAAACAAATGTCTATAGAAGACTTACCTGTCTATACTTCCATTCTTGTTCATGCTCTGATTCCTTGTCCTTCAGTGGATCTTTGAACAGTAATTCTGGGTCCAGTGGTGGAATAGCAGGATCAAACACTTCTAAAGGCTGCTGTGGCTGAGGCGGCTGCCTCTTAATGGTCTCGTTGGACATTTGAACTTTGTTAATGCGCAGGGCTGCCCTGTTATCTCTGGCCTTTTGCTGTGAATAGCAGAGTGGTTGTGCAGTGTTGATATCAAAGAAAGACCACTGAAATTCAAAGGTTGCATAAATTTGCTAAAATTACATGGTTTTTAGACTAATTGTCTAAAAGTTTTTTTTTTTTTACTTTAAGTGGCACTCCTTCCCTTTAATCATATCTTTTTAAATGTATTCATCTCTTAGACCATAATGAGCTCCTTGGGTCCAATTTATTCTTTTGACTTTTGAGCAACACTCAAGAGTCCCTTTATCCTGTTGAAATAAATTCCAAGCTTTTTAGTGGCGGCCTGATCCTGGTCTAGCGGGTAGACCAACATAGCCACGTTATTCACCAGCAAAATTTAGCAGGTGAAGCCATTCGACACACCAGCATTCAAAACACTGTATATGCTGGTTCACCAGAAAACCAGCTTCCAGCTTGGCGATGATGATAAACTCAAATGTATTGCAGCAGATACTGTGTTAACTTACCACATATGGTGCCCGGTCCTGTGAACTTGCTTTTCTCCACAATTTTGCAATTTGTTTCACTCGTGTTGACCAGTCTGTAAGGTTATAACATTAAAATAAAAGTATCTATTAGAAGAATAACATTGAGGGATATTAAGAAGAGATGCAAATCTAAATATACCATATTGACATTCTTAATTGCATTAATATATGTTAGATTACATACTAAATATAGTAAAATGGATTGCTAATAGCAATTTGTTTTGATTGTAACAGCACTTTATTGATTTTCAAAGCTGCTAATGACAGATCACTTTGAAGTCCCTTGGCTGACCTGGATATTCCCCCTTGATGTTTGGGAAGTTGACATTAGTGTACAGGACCGGTGCAACCGTGGCAAGTTCTCCAAACGTTTCTTCTTTCTCCCACTTCAGAGTGCTTTTCTGTGCAGTGGACATGGAGTCTCCCTCCACCTCAGAGGCAGCGGCTGGAGCAGAGGCAGAAGCTGACCCTGTAGCGGACCACGGACCAGCAGTCTCCTGCACTATCAGATTGAACTTCCTGTCCCTGTGCAGCAGATATAATAAATATGTCATCTAGAAATACAGATTTTATCTTACTAGGTCACAGTATTTTCACCTACTGAACAAGAAAAGACTAACACAAATGTAGTCTGTTCATTTTTTATCAGTATTGCAATTTAGATATGTGTGGGTGTGCATATGTCTGAAGCAGATATACTCATGGCTGACCTAAGATTGTCTGAGAAAGGCATGCGCTGCATTGATGGGATATTTCGAGCCATATCAGGCTCTGCTCCAGGACCAATTTGGGACTGTGAAAACTGCTGTTTGGGTTCCATCAAACCGTTCATCATTGGCATTCGTGAAGACATTCCTGTAGAAAAACATAATACAACTGAGCAACGGTGCATACAACAATGTCTGGTCTTCAAGATTTATCACAGTGAATATAATCCAGTTTGATTCACCTGAGAATGAACAACCTCAGTTTGTAAAAACAAACAAAAAGGTGTTTACAGTAATGCACTTAAGGGATGAGTCAAAATGCCACAGACGCCATCGATTGAGCTTTTACAAAACACAGAACATTCCGGTAAAGGTGAAATTTATGATTTTTGAAAAATGTGCAAATGCCATCAACACCGAATTACAAAAATAATGTCAAACAGGTTTCTTGAACGCTCCCCCTGTCTGTCACTGGCCAAACAGAAAGTCTCAACCAAAAAACCCCAAAACCATGCTGGTTCAACAATATAGATTTCTTTAATGATTATGCTCAAATAATGCAGAATTGTTTTGACAACACCACACTGTTCACACTCTTTTGAAAGTCAACCTATGAATGCCGCACTTACAGTTGTCTGTGCATTAACCCTTGTGTTGTGTTCAGAACCCTTTCACACTAACGAGGTTACAGAGCAAAAAGGACCCGAACACCACATGAGGGTTAAAACCAGCATGGGAGTATTTTAACATGGAAAAAATATGACACACATCATACATAGACAAATGTTACCAACAAAAGACAACTGCTAAATTAGAGTCTTAACCATATCATGGTTTCAAACATTCAGGGCTCCAGACTAACATCTGAGAGCAGTGGCTCCAGCGCCACTAAATTCTACAGATGGTGGCGCCAGAAACATATTTGGTAGCGTTGGGGGGGTGCTCTGTGGGGTATTAAAAATAAAGATAATTTAATCATAAAATTACTATTGTTTTGCAATAATAAGTGCAGTTACTATTAATATTTTACGTAATAAAACACGTTTATTACTCTGTAATACACATTTGACAGTAAAGCACAGACCTTGAGTTGGGAAGCATGTTTACTTTCATTAACAACAGTAACATGTGCAAAAAGTTATATATTCTACTCTTATTAAATGTACCATTATTCTTCCATATTATTATACTGAACTGACCGACCACTTCAGTGATTACAAATGGAGCACCCTTTACTTGCTTTATGTGCAATTCAGTCACAAATTGAAGAAAAGTTTGTTTTTCAAGGCACTTTGTGACTTTTCTTTCTTCATACTCAAAAAAGTGCAAAACTTTGACAAAAATTGATTTCTTGATAATTTTATATTTTACAATGGTGATTTTATAACCTCAAAATATAAAGCAAAAAAGTAGAAATGAGTGACTAATATGCCAATAAGTGCTCCTCTGCTGCCGTCTACTGGTTAGTGGTAATTTGAATTTTACCAAGCATTTGTTCACCACTAAGTAAATTTTGGTCATCCCATTAAAAATACAATTTACAGTGGGTATAGAAAAGAATCCCCCCCCTTTACTGTTCAACAGGTGTTACCATATCCTTTTATTTATAGTTCCTGTGGTTTACAACCCTGAAAAGAATAATGTAATAACATTCCACTTTGTCTGCCACATTTTTGGGTGAACTCTCTCTTTAACAATTAAAACTAATAAGCAAAACCAGACCAGAGCAGGTTGTGATTACCTGAGTCATATCTGACACAAACGAAACTGAATAAACAACTTGTGCTGCAAAAATAATTCAAATAGAAATACTACTGTGGGCTCTGAGGGAGGTCAGACCGCCTCGTCCTCCAAGGCTGTTTTTACAACAGGGATGAGAGCTCGACATCTTTCACAAATTGCTAGGTTGGTTCCTTTTCATCAAACCAAGGACTCAGTGGATCTCGGTGGAACAGTGTCCCTATTCTTCACTCATCCATTCAGGCAGAGGCCCTGACTGCCGCTCACAGGAGGAAGGCCATTCATCATTGGCTTTGTTTTTCTGAAATGCCTGTCTCTAGAACACCTTGATCACTCCTGTTAGTCCAGCACTGCACTGCTGCATCATTCTGAATCTGTTAGGTAATGTAAATGCTTCTGATAGCCGTGCATTCTGGGATGTTTAACTTGGTGAAACTAAATGGACTGCATGATGCATAATGGTTAGATTCAGGTGCAGTGCACATTGCGGGTGATATGTCAACAATAGAAAAAGTAAAACAAATGTTCCCATAAAACCCAAGCAAAGGGGTGCAAGAGAATAGAAGTAAAAGTAAATAACTTAAAATATGACCATGAGCTCTTACCAAATAGTGAAGGAGAGTACTCAACTTGGAAAGGGCAAAAATCAAGACCTACAAAGACCCAAACCAAACACAATGAGGGATCAGCACCATGAAGAGAGAAAGAAAAATTCTGCAGATGATTCATACACAATGTCAAATAAAATGAGCTAAGAACGAAAAATGGAAATGCCAAGAAAATGAACATAATGACAAGACAATAAAGACCATCTCTTACAGATAATTAAATATTTAGATATTAAACTATTGATTATCCATTTTCAAGCAAAGCTAATAAATGTGTAATTATTGGGTGTAGAAATGTGCGTGTGAGTGTGTGATAAAAAAAAAAGAAAAAAGAATTACCCGTGCGGATTTAACTAACTGCATGTGTTAACATGTTACATTTGAAAGCCCTATTGAAATGATTGAATTTTAGGTTATATTTGAACATTCTTTGATAGGAATACTTTAAATCTATCATCTAAGCACAAGCCTTTATATCAAAAGATTTTAAGATTATGGGAAACTAATTCAGCCAAGTGTATCTACATTTATGACTGGTAACGTAGTTAAAAACTACACTAAGAAAAAGCGACTTCAAAAAAAAAAATAAAAAAATAGGGAATCCTTATTGTAGTTTAACTATGTTTGTACCTCATGAAGTTCGTGTTTCAAAGCAGATTCTTCAACAATGATAATAGTAGACCTAGAGAGCTGGAGCCCACTGAAACAGCAAACACGTGCTGTTATTTCTCATGTTTAGAGACACTCATAAAGGCCTACCGGACTCCTCTGTTTGCTTGTTATCTGAAAACATTCCCAGCAGCTCTGTGTCTGATTTCAGCTCTTCGGACAGGTCCACTAGAGGCTCCACAGAGTTCTCTGTGGATGTGGATAAAGCAGGGACGTGATTATAAGGGCCTAATGACTGTACTCTAAGAAAGTGGTCTAAATTGTGGTCAAATTTAAAGACAACATGAAACAATCCATTTTTTGGGGGATTCTGCTGGCACCCGCTCTCCATAACAAGACCAGGAATGTGTGTAAAGTAAGTAATTTTAAATTTCATGTTGACTTTAAGGGAACTAAATGTATAAATCAGACTGGGTATGAATATCATATGAAAAAATGACAAAAACAAACAGAAAGGCTGAGACAGGCCGTGTGTGTGTGTGTGTGTGAGCACCAGTAGCTGTGAGAAACGTACGTGCTGCTACTGATTTACTGGGCAGCAGTGCCGCTGATGCACTGAGTGATGCGTTCGACAGTGGCTTCATCTGATTGGCCGAGAGCTGTTTCCTGTCTCGCTCATCCTCTAGTAGCCGTGTGGTTTCCTGTCTGCTGTGTTTGCTCTTATGCAGCAGGTCTTTCCCAAAAAAGGCCTCCTGCAAGAAAAGATTGTGGAGTCAGAGTACTTCAGAATTCAGTATAAAATATGTGACTGATTTGTCCATCTAGTAAAAGTTGATGTAGGTTTTAGAAAATTACTGGTTTCATATAGCAAGCATTAACCAAACAATAAAATATTTTCAATGGTGGACGGTGATGGAAATATTTAGAGTAGGGTGGCGCATGGCTAATAAAATGCAGATACTGCATATAATGCAATTTAACGAAAGCAAAACATGTAGAATGTAAAGAAACATTTATATTACAGAATATCTGAAAATGAAACATGTTCCCACTTCTGTTAATCAACCAAGTGGACACAGATTTTTTGAAGATGGCTATTTGAAGATTAGCCAATTTATCTGGCCCGGGTTTCCATATTTTTTTACAACATTTCCTCTCCATTAATTTGAGACTGTTTCATGTGAACTGGTTTGACAAGATCAAACATCACTATGGGTTAAATTGCATCTTAGTGTACACAAAAGCAATATTTAGATGACATATATATATATATATATATATATACACACACACACACACACACACACACACACACACTGTGTGCATATTAAATTAATATAATAAGGGCTGTATTATATTGAATTAAATGGCATGTATTAAATCAATATAATAAGGGCTGTCAAATGATTAATCGCATCCAAAATAAAAGTTTGTGTTTACATAATATGTGTGTGTATACTGTGTATATTTATTATGTATATATAAATACACATGCACATGCACGCATATATATATATTTTTTCCCCCCAAATTCCAGGGCTGGAAAACACAATATAATTTGTGCAAAATACACACACACATCACTCCTACCAAAGACAACAGTAGTGCACTCTGGGTGATCATGACATTCAAAGCAAAACTTCTGAAGAGGCGTACTCAAATCACATTGTGCTGTTATCACTCGTAATGAAAGTACTGTTGATAGAGTATATTTTTTGGGTACAATGGAGCCCTTCCAGATGGCTGTGTGTTTGTCTGGCAGCGAGGCTCTGCCTCTCAGATGGCGTTACTCTGCACTGACTGTAACGTTGTGGGAGCCCCTCAAATGAGCTCATGTTTCATCCCGTCTCCAGCGCGGCCCCACAGGACGCATGATCTACGGAGACACACGCTGCTGCACGTGCGCACGGCAATCACAGGAACAAGCAAGAAAACAACATACGTGCTGTAGTGGCCGTAATACGACTTCCCAGCACACCACCTGTTCTGTCAATTCAGTTCAGCTCACCTGACAGCTTCCAGCTCTGGGAACCTGCCTGGCTGAGACACTAAAAGCCTCCATTTTCAATAATTGATTTGAAGTGGCTCTTCTGAGAAGCACCTTTAGGGTGGATTCTCTCAGTGTTGACGCAGGAGCTAGCGTGAACAGCTAGCATTAGCTCAACCAAACAATTATGTCATTCCCATCCCATTCATTCTTCCTTTCTAGGGCTGGGTGATATGATGGTATAATACAACATCAGTGTGCAGGACTGCTATATGCTATTTACATGTGAGGGTGATACAGAATCATGTAGAGTAATATGAAAATACAGTGGGAAGTGAAATGTCGCTCAAATAAGTCAAGATTAAAGGTTGTTAAGTACAGCGCCAGATTTGTTGCTTTTACAGTACTGCATTAATAGAGAATTCCGATGTGTGAATATCGGCTAGAATTTAGAGTCTGAATTATTTGTTTTATAATAGTAGTTTACTGATTTGAATTATTTTTTTGTATTTATTTATTTTTTATTTAGTATATAACAATGGAAAATCCAAATATTTTGAAATATTATTACAATTTGAAATAACGTTTTTCTATTGTAATACATTTTACATTTTAATTTATTTTGTGATGACAAAGCTGAATTTTACGGAAGAGGATTAAGGCCAAGCAATAATAAAAAAAATAAAACCATCTCGAGATTGAAGTAATTAAATTTCAAGAAAAAAGTCGAGATTAAATGTTGAGATTAAACTCATTAAATTTCGAGAATTAAGCCATCATGTTTCAAGAAAAAACTCATTAAATTTCGAGAAAAAAAGTCGAAATAAAATGTTGAGAATAAACATTAAATTTCGAGAAAAAAGTCGAGAATAAAATTTATTCTCAACATTTTATTTAGACTTTTTTCTTGAAATGTAACTTTTTTTCTCGTAATTTAATGAGTTTATTCTCAACATTTTATTTCAACTTTTTTTCTCGAAATTTAACGAGTTTTTTCTCGAAACGTCTTAATTCTCAATTTTATAACTTTAATCTCAACTTTTTATATCGACTTTTTTCTTGAAATGTAACGACTTTAATCTCGAGATGGTTTTATTTTTTTATTATTGCTTGGCCCTAATCCTCTTCCGTAGAATTTTCAGCATCATTACTCCAGTCTTCAGTGTCACTTGATCCTTCAGAAACCATCTACTGTATCTATCTATCTCTGATCTACAGCTTTTGAAAGGTAAATTGTAGGGCTGAGTTTTGACACAAATTTCACAATTCGATTCGTTTCTCATTCAAAAGCTTGCGATTCGATTCAATACAGATTATTTTGGATATATATCAGGTACAGTACTCTCAAGGAAAAAATCTCTCAACTAATGCTGTAAAATATACACGAGTCAGTTGGTACTACATTACTATAATATTGAAGGTTAAAATTGACTGATTTGTTAAAATTACACTTAATAAAGTTCTTAAAATAATAAAGTTACAATTACATAATAATATTTCTACTTCAATTAGTTTTTTTTTAAATATATAAACAATGGTGGCTGTCATAAAAACTTGATGGATTTATTCAAACATAAATTAAACATTGAAGAACAGTAAAATGTATAATGAATATGTTATATGTTGCATATATTTAACAAAATGCCCCTCTCTACAGTTTATTTTTCTGTCTGACTAATGAGTTTATGGTCACCGAATATGTTTTTCTGAGGTAAATGTGACGTTACATGACATTGTTTACAAGCAGTTATATTGACGTCTTTGCGCGGCTGAAACACTGATTGAGTGACTGATTTAGTCATGTTTATTTTGTGCTGAAACTGGTATTAATGTGGAGGAGACGATCAGTTCACGTGCGCCTCGCGCTGCTGCGTCTACAGCGATCTGTCACTCCACATTAAACAGCGCCAAAAACGGCATTTATTGTTTAAATACTGCAATACAATGGACAGAATTTGAAATCTGAGACTGTTTCATATTAAAAGTACCAACGCACAATGCTTATTGTGATATATTGGATGGGAAGCACCCTTCAACGTTCTGTCCATTAACTGAAAACAGGCCAGAATAATAGATTCTTGGGAATTAAGAATCGATATCGTTCCGTAAAAATGAGAATCGATTAATATAGAGATATCGATATTTTTTACCCAGCCCTAGTAAATTGTAATTTAGCAGGATTTTCTCAAAATATGCTTTCCACACGATTACGTAATTTATGCGCACATTATCTGTTATATTTTCAGCAAAAAAAAAACAAGACAGAATTTGAAATCTGAGACTGTTTCATATTAAAAGTACCAACGCACAATGCTTATTGTGATATATTGGATGGGAAGCACCCTTCAACGTTCTGTCCATTAACTGAAAACAGGCCAGAATAATAGATTCTTGGGAATTAAGAATCGATATCGTTCCGTAAAAATGAGAATCGTTTAATATAGAGATATCGATATTTTTCACCCAGCCCTAGTAAATTGTAATTTAGCAGGATTTTCTCAAAATATGCTTTCCACACGATTACGTAATTTATGCGCACATTATCTGTTATATTTTCAGCAAAAAAAACAACCTGTATTTTCATATATAAAGAGCAACTGCAGCTTAGAAATGATCTCATATTGTGTGGCTTGTTTTGCAGAGATCTGCCATAGCTTTTCCAAGAGAATGTGAATTATGATATTTGCCTGGTAGATGAAACCCCCCACAAACTTGCATTGAAGGCCCCGAGCCATATCTAGACACCAAATATCACAGAGAATTTGAGCCAGCAACCACCAAAAACAACCTTGCAAAAACTAAGCAATGGCCTGACAACCACCCAGTACACCTCAATAAAGTGATGGTATATTTTGCACAGACAAACACCACTCATATTGTCTTTAAAATCGAGTTAATCTATTATATTTGAAAAGCTGACCTGTAGGTAAGCAGGGAAAGCCTCCTCCAGTTTGGTCTTCTTTTTCCTGTAGCGTTTCCGTATTTTAACCTCAGGGTTGTCGGGAAAATCAGACAAAGGAGGTTTTTCATCGATTGGAGTGTCAGGCGCTTGGTCACCCCAGCCTGCCAGGACAGAAAAGAGTAACCCTATTCATTCTTTACATTACATTCAAATCTTATGTAATTCAAAAATAACATCCGTAAATACATACATGAATACATTCATTTTTAATGTATTTTTCAAAATGTATTAATGTAGATATTATTCAATAGATCAGTCTATATTAGGGGTGTCAAATACATGTGATCGGGATGAGCCCAATCCAGCTTTATGTACTTCTGCAGTGGTTGTGGACATTTGGCAGCAGTTGATCCACTCAAACAGATATTAAAAAAATAATAAAGACAGAAGATATTGATTTAGGATCTAACATAAGCTAGCAGCAAGTCATCGTACTGAAAGTGTTGAATGATACTGACTCTCATCTTTGCCTTGTAGGGTCTCAGAGCCAGTGGAGTCCTTCCTGAACAAGGCCTGTTTGGTTCTGCCCAGACCTGTCCGGTTCCTCTGTCTGACCATGAATCCTCCAATACCTGAATAAAAGCAGAAACTTCAATATATTTTTGTTCAATAATATTTTTTCTTTTTCATTTTGTATTTTTGAGAGAATTTGATGGCACCAATTCATATTTATGCAATAATTATGATCCATTTCCCCCCACTGAAAATACAGAAAAATATTTTTTTTCCCTAATTTTCTTAAAAATTATTTTTCAATTAATGCAGCATTTCAGGTTAAAAATGAGACTAGCTGTGCACTTTTTTCTGCATTATGGCTGATTTGTAGATTATGCATGCAAATGTTTTTCATATTTTCCCATTTATTTCCTATGGTGGTCATTTTTGACTGAGAAGACTTTTTTTTTTTTTAGCCTTTTCTAATCATGCCCTCATTTTTTTTATGTGTAGTATCACATAACAAATGCCATAAAAGTCCCCAAGTTTTGTACCATTCCGATGAAGCTATGTTTTTTAAAATGTCAAAATCTAAAATTCTCCGTCAAAAGTAACCAAAGAGGCCCAGAGGGTGTCTTTTGCCAACTTATAATGTCAACCTTTGTTTCATGACCATTTTCCATGCATTAGCTAATATAGACATCAAATATTACAGATTTTATTTTTATTTTTTGTATCCGAGCAGTCATTCATATGTACAAGATGTTTGGATGTTTTGCAATAGACAATGTACAATTAATAACATCTGATACAGTGGCACAGAAAAAAAATACAATTGTATTTAAACAAAAATTACTAATTTAAAAAATAAACTTGATTTAATTTATTATTAGATTAATAAACAAAACAAGAGAAGCTCTGTGCCTTCTACTCTATTCCTTTTTCTAATCATGCATAATTACCATGTATAAAGTACAATCATGCATGAACATACAACTTCCAGCAGACCTGAAAAAGACAAATACTGTAACAAGGAAATCACTTGTGCAAATGAAAACGTGTTTGGTTAGACTCCACTGAAGCATCTAGTCTCTCACCAGGGCGGTAGGGCTTCCTCTTCCTCTTCTTGCATGGATCTGTGTCTTTAGAGTCATCTTCTGCTGCGGCCTCTCTCTCCGGACTGGAGTCTGACTTTCCCTCACCGTCCACAATCTCCCCTTCTGCTGCAAAACACACACACACACGCACGTACGCACGCACGCACGCACACACATACACACACACAAACACACACACACACACACACAAAGCTGTCAGGGATCATTAGTCATGTTTATTTTGTGCTGAAACTGGTATTAATGTGGAGGAGACGATCAGTTCACGTGCGCCTCGCGCTGCTGCGTCTACAGCGATCTGTCACTCCACATTAAACAGCGCCAAAAACGGCATTTATTGTTTAAATACTGCAATACAATGGACAGAATTTGAAATCTGAGACTGTTTCATATTAAAAGTACCAACGCACAATGCTTATTGTGATATATTGGATGGGAAGCACCCTTCAACGTTCTGTCCATTAACTGAAAACAGGCCAGAATAATAGATTCTTGGGAATTAAGAATCGATATCGTTCCGTAAAAATGAGAATCGTTTAATATAGAGATATCGATATTTTTCACCCAGCCCTAGTAAATTGTAATTTAGCAGGATTTTCTCAAAATATGCTTTCCACACGATTACGTAATTTATGCGCACATTATCTGTTATATTTTCAGCAAAAAAAAAACCCTGTATTTTCATATATAAAGAGCAACTGCAGCTTAGAAATGATCTCATATTGTGTGGCTTGTTTTGCAGAGATCTGCCATAGCTTTTCCAAGAGAATGTGAATTATGATATTTGCCTGGTAGATGAAAACCCCCACAAACTTGCATTGAAGGACCCGAGCCATATCTAGACACCAAATATCACAGAGAATTTGAGCCAGCAACCACCAAAAACAACCTTGCAAAAACTAAGCAATGGCCTGACAACCACCCAGTACACCTCAATAAAGTGATGGTATATTTTGCACAGACAAACACCACTCATATTGTCTTTAAAATCGAGTTAATCTATTATATTTGAAAAGCTGACCTGTAGGTAAGCAGGGAAAGCCTCCTCCAGTTTGGTCTTCTTTTTCCTGTAGCGTTTCCGTATTTTAACCTCAGGGTTGTCGGGAAAATCAGACAAAGGAGGTTTTTCATCGATTGGAGTGTCAGGCGCTTGGTCACCCCAGCCTGCCAGGACAGAAAAGAGTAACCCTATTCATTCTTTACATTACATTCAAATCTTATGTAATTCAAAAATAACATCCATAAATACATACATGAATACATTCATTTTTAATGTATTTTTCAAAATGTATTAATGTAGATATTATTCAATAGATCAGTCTATATTAGGGGTGTCAAATACATGTGATCGGGATGAGCCCAATCCAGCTTTATGTACTTCTGCAGTGGTTGTGGACATTTGGCAGCAGTTGATCCACTCAAACAGATATTAAAAAAATAATAAAGACAGAAGATATTGATTTAGGATCTAACATAAGCTAGCAGCAAGTCATCGTACTGAAAGTGTTGAATGATACTGACTCTCATCTTTGCCTTGTAGGGTCTCAGAGCCAGTGGAGTCCTTCCTGAACAAGGCCTGTTTGGTTCTGCCCAGACCTGTCCGGTTCCTCTGTCTGACCATGAATCCTCCAATACCTGAATAAAAGCAGAAACTTCAATATATTTTTGTTCAATAATATTTTTTCTTTTTCATTTTGTATTTTTGAGAGAATTTGATGGCACCAATTCATATTTATGCAATAATTATGATCCATTTCCCCCCACTGAAAATACAGAAAAATAATTTTTTTCCCTAATTTTCTTAAAAATTATTTTTCAATTAATGCAGCATTTCAGGTTAAAAATGAGACTAGCTGTGCACTTTTTTCTGCATTATGGCTGATTTGTAGATTATGCATGCAAATGTTTTTCATATTTTCCCATTTATTTCCTATGGTGGTCATTTTTGACTGAGAAGACTTTTTTTTTTTAGCCTTTTCTAATCATGCCCTCATTTTTTTTATGTGTAGTATCACATAACAAATGCCATAAAAGTCCCCAAGTTTTGTACCATTCCGATGAAGCTATGTTTTTTAAAATGTCAAAATCTAAAATTCTCCGTCAAAAGTAACCAAAGAGGCCCAGAGGGTGTCTTTTGCCAACTTATAATGTCAACCTTTGTTTCATGACCATTTTCCATGCATTAGCTAATATAGACATCAAATATTACAGATTTTATTTTTATTTTTTGTATCCGAGCAGTCATTCATATGTACAAGATGTTTGGATGTTTTGCAATAGACAATGTACAATTAATAACATCTGATACAGTGGCACAGAAAAAAAATACAATTGTATTTAAACAAAAATTACTAATTTAAAAAATAAACTTGATTTAATTTATTATTAGATTAATAAACAAAACAAGAGAAGCTCTGTGCCTTCTACTCTATTCCTTTTTCTAATCATGCATAATTACCATGTATAAAGTACAATCATGCATGAACATACAACTTCCAGCAGACCTGAAAAAGACAAATACTGTAACAAGGAAATCACTTGTGCAAATGAAAACGTGTTTGGTTAGACTCCACTGAAGCATCTAGTCTCTCACCAGGGCGGTAGGGCTTCCTCTTCCTCTTCTTGCATGGATCTGTGTCTTTAGAGTCATCTTCTGCTGCGGCCTCTCTCTCCGGACTGGAGTCTGACTTTCCCTCACCGTCCACAATCTCCCCTTCTGCTGCAAAACACACACACACACGCACGTACGCACGCACGCACGCACACACATACACACACACAAACACACACACACACACACACAAAGCTGTCAGGGATCACACAGGTTAACAAACCCAGACTATAGGAAGATAACTGTAAAACGAGACACTTTAAAACTCTGTCTTCCACAATAGATTCAGCCCATTTGTGCTAAAAATAAAATTTAGAATCACTATAATGAGCTGCCTACCTAGTTTTATGGCACACATAATGTGAAGGCTGTTTTAAATTGTAGGTAGAGATTATGCTGTCTTCTACAATACCTAATTCTCAAAAGAATCGGAGGCACAATCGCATGGATTGTCATAATGCTTTGCCATGAGCTCACCAAAAATTTCCCAGCCAAGACAGCCGACATAGATGAAAGAAATACTGACTAGAAATCCTATAAAGTGTCCATGGACCTTTTTTTAAACATCTTCAATGACATAGGCCAGGGGTTCCCAAACGTTCCCGTCAGCCGCTTAGACTTGAGTGAACAGATAAAATATTATAAAATCTATTTTTTAGTGTTTAATTTTTTTAAATAATTATTTATATATAGGGCTTATTATTATTTAAGAATTATTATTATTATTCATTGTAATTATAAAAATTAAGATAAAGATATTACTCTTGTAAATTACATTCAATTCAAATGTATTTGTATAGCGCTTTTCACAATACACGTTGTTTCAAAGCAGCTTTACAGAAAATGCATGCGTCTACATTACAATTTAGAGTGATCTGTTATCAGACGTGAATGTGTCCAAGTAATGTTCATTTCACAAATGAACACTTCATGTTCATACAGTTTTAAAATTAATTTCAGACAGAAGCTTATTAAAGCGATTATTACAAGTGTGATCATAATGATTGCAATATAGAGAAAATTTGACAGCTGTGCATATAGATTCAAGTTCCCCTGTAAACTTAAAAAACAACAAAAAAAAAACAATTATTTGATAATTATTGTCCTAATAATGATGTTATTTTTAGTGTTGTCAAATGATTAATCGCATCCAAAATAAACGTTTTTATTTACATAATGTGTGTACTGTGTATATTTATTATGTATATATCAATACACACAGTATATATTTTGAAAATATTTACATGTATTTATATTTATATTACAGATAAATATATTTAATATATAAACAACATATTTTTCTTAAATATATACATATGTGTGTGTATTTATATACACATAATAAATATACAGTACACACATATATTATGTAAACAAAAACTTTTATTTTGGATGCGATTAATCGCGATTAATCGTTTGACAGCACTAGTTATTTTACAATGCAAGTAACAATTCTAATATTTATATCTCAAATTCTTCACTTTCAAATGTTCAAGTCATCAAACTTTTATTCTGGTAAAATATGGTTGAGATGTAGGAAGCAGTACTTTTGGTGTTGTCCAGGTTTCCGTCTCTGGAGAGTTCAGTCGGTGGGTCTGGAGGCGTCTGCAGCACGGCCACACTGTTCTGGTTTATGATCTTCAGCTTGAGTTTGGGTTTGGAGCGTCTCCGCCGCGAGGCTGCATTGGCGAGACTCTGGAGCTGGGACAGACCAGACTCTGTGAGACAAACACCGTCCTGGGTGTACGTCCTCGTCAGCTCTGTGGAGCAGAAACACAGAGGAACCTCATTGGAAACATGAAGAATTTTTTTTTCTTTCTTTTGCGCACAAAAAGTATTCTTGTAGCTTCGTAAAATTACGGTTGAGCCCCTGATGTCACATGGATTATTTTACCGATCTCCTTGCTACGTTTCTGGACCTTGATCGTGGTAGCTACCTTGCTGTCTATGGGAGGGTCAGAGAGCCCTCAGAATTCATTAAAAATATCTTAATTTGTGTTCCGAAGATGAACGGAGGTCTTACGGGTTTAGAACGACATGAGGGTGAGTAATTGATGACAGAATTTTCATTTTTGGGTGAACTAACTCTTTAACATTAGTTAATACACCTTAATATCAAACCTATATCATGAGTTTGGAAATTTTAGAGAAATGCTTAATAAATGCACTGTAACTAAACCCATTAGATTTTAGCCAACTAAATTTACCGTAGATTTAGTCAACTAAAATCGTATGATATTTAGTCGACTAAAACGAAAAACAATTTAGATGACTAAAATATGACTAAAACTAAATGGCATTTTAGTCAAAAGACTATGACTAAAACTAAATCAAAATTTGCTGTCAAAATTAACACTGTTTTGCACGGGCCAACATCTCCTCCTCAGAAACTGTATCTAGTAGGTATCTAGTATGTTTGATGGCAGAGATTTGCGAGTTGAAAGGAATCCAAGCACCCCAGCAGGTACATGCACAGCGCAGACCACCGCTCACCTGTCACACTGGCGGCACTGCAGGATGATCTCCTCCTCGTTGTAGTCCTGCTGGCACAGTGGGCATGATGCCAGGCTGGCGCAAGGGGCACACTGAGTGTAATTATTCTGCCACTCACACCTCAGACCCGCAGACGTGGCTCCGCACTGCATACAGGACACACACCTGCGGGAGGCCAAAGCGGGCACAATGACATTAATCACACACCACAAAAGGTCCTCCATTGTAACTAGCAAGTATTCTTAAATTAACCACAAGAACAAAAAGCAGCTAAAGCACAGTTGAAGTAAAATGATTTTGTAAAATGAAGATTATTTTAATATATTATTAAATATAGTAAATTAAAGGTGGGGTATGTATTTTTTCAAAAACGCTTTAGAAAACTCTCGGGCCGAGTACTAAAACAAACTTGTAGCCAATCAGCAGTAAGGGGCGTGTCTGTTCATGATGTGGAGGAGAGAGCGCTCAGTGCACAGGACGGACATTAGCTGAACCGAGCGACAGAAAGATAGAGATGGCAGATAAAAAACAAAAGAGGAAAACGTCTGAGGAAAAAAGGCGGCTTACGATAAGGCAAGAAGTAGGACCCGTGTAAATATCGGATCAGCTTTCCAGCGCTGGAGAGAACTCCAGGAGCGGAAGGCCTGGGATCGGATGCCGAGGTTGCTTTGTTTCTTCTCAATAGGTGAGTAACACCGTGTCTGCGCCGCAACAGCTAAAGTCTGTCTACACTGGACGCGATAAAGCGACTGTTGAAAATCATTTGAAATTTGTGTCAGTACGTCGTGAATAGAACGCAGCAGCAGGTTTCTGTCGGGGATTTGTCGTGTCGCACCGCATCCAGTGTAGACAGCATCACTGATTATAATGAGTTTGTCGAGCCGCACCGCTCGCATCCGGTGTAGACACGGTGTAACATTGATTTTGCTTTGTTTCACAGAACTAATCGTTGCCTGGGTTGCGTACATATGTTTGGGACGGAGCTATCAAAATAGGGGCGAGAACCTCTTGGGGTAGGGGAAATCATTTTCCCCACCTTTAAAAACAGATTAATACTAGAAATTTTCAAGTTAATAATTTTTTTTATTTTATGTGATGTGGAATACCATTTGCATTTCCAGCTCCCATTGGGCACGTTCTGCAGGGGCGGGTCTAAGCAGTAGGTGTGGTAGCTGATGTCACAATTGTCACAGAGCAGCAGACGTCCGGGATCGCTGGCCTGACCGCACGCCTCACACACGGTACACTCCAAACACCGCCAGCCTTTACTCAGCACCACCTTAGTGATCTGACAACCAATGCATGTCAGTTAGCACATAAAGACAGAACTTAAAAAAACTAAACAACACAGTAGTTTGCAGTAGCAGCAGCTTTTTTCAAAAGTTTTTTTTTTTTTTTTTGCAGTATCC